CAGCGCGTCGCCTTTTCAATGCCTCTAGAGCTTCCTGGCGTTTGTTTTTGGGCTTGCCTTGCGTGCTTCTCAGTCTGCCGCGATCCGGTAATGGAGAGGATCGCAGAAACGCAAGTTCCTCTTTCAATTCGTCTTGCTCCTCGTCGTCCTCGTCATTGTTTGCGCTTCCCTCGCCCTCTTCCTCGTCTTCGTCCTCTGACGCAGAATCCCCACGATTTGTAAGTTGAGGCGTAGCTGGCGGCTCTTCCTCATCTTCTGAAAGTGACTTTCGTCTTTTCAGTCTGCGCCTCGTGCTTCGAGGTGGGCTCTGCTCCTCTTCTTCAGCGGATGGAGAACGTCTGCGGACGATCTTCCGCCTCGAGCTCGGTGCTGGGGTAAGAGGTTCGTCCTCGTCCTCATCTTCGTCTGGTGTCGGGGCCTTCTCCGCAATCTTTCTTCGGCTGTTGCGAGGCGCAGGCCGCAACTCTTCCTCCTCTGGTGTACTCTCCTTCCTCTCTCGCCGTTTGCTGGCCTTCGAAGACTTAGTCTTCTTTTTCTCTTCCTTCTTCTTGCTCTTCGGTTTCTCCGATGTATCAGATCCGATCTCGATAACACGGCGTTGTCGTTTGCGCGGAATGACCGTGACTGTCGGTTCCTCGTCTTCAGATTCGCTGGGCGTCGCTGCTCGTCTCCGCTTTCGCGACTTCGGTTGCTCCACTTGTACTTCGTCCTCCTCTTCCGACGTCTCTGAGCTGGCAGAGCCATTGTTCGATCCATCGAACATACCACGCGCTGTGCCCGCGGCTGGCATCCCTAACCGCATCGCCTTGTTTGTTCCCACTACCAATTCGTCCTCGCTCGAAGATTCAGGCTTGTTGTTGTTGCTCTTGTTGGAAACTCTGCTAGGCGCTCGTCTTGTCGGTCTCGTAGCCGTGAGGTTCGGTCGCGACGGCGAGGTTCCCATAGTCGTGGCGGCAGTCGATTTAGTCGCGGGTGAGGATTGGGAGGCAGGTGAAAAGTTGATTTTGGTCTGCCGTTTGCGATCGCGCGCCTTCTTGGGTGCCATCTTGGCGTGTCCAGTCTTGGAGTCTGCTTCACTATGGATGTCTCTCACTGAAGTGTCGGCCCAGATTCTATCTTGCGCAGCGCCGTCGCGTCGGACAATCGCGTTGCGAAAACGTCGCTGTAGATGTGCGAGTGTCGCAAACTCCCGAGGATGAATGCGCGACTATTATATTATTCAAAAGTTTGTAGAGAGTGCTCCAAGACGGCAACAATGCGTCTTCCTTTCGATGACGGTGGGGCGGCAGAAAGAGTGCGCATCTGCAAGGCCCCGGCGATTCAGGCAGGCGCGCGAGCACGTGCGCTAGCGTCATGCGTCTACCGTCAACTGCATAGAACGAACCTGTAACACAAACATCCGCTGAACGACATCCAACAACCTAACGAACTGCTCCTATGCCTTGACGTCTCTTTGGTTAGACATTAGTCTAGTTTGTTTGATTTCACGCGTGTCCCACTCATCCTGGTTGTTAGCAAAGTGTCGCAACAAATCAATGTCACCCCCACCCGCCAATCGACTGTCAGGTTTGGTTTCTCATCGAAAGCACCCTATTAATTCCAAGGTTACATGTACATGTATAACTCCTCTTTGTCTAGCTCTGCCTGCTTACTGTATCTCATCCGGAACCAATCCTCCTTGAAATCCTGCTAATCATGCCTAGCTGCAGTCTAGTGGAGTGCTCTGAACAGTCCAACTGGTCTCTTTTTCAGAAACTCTACATCGCGCCTTTGACGCAGACTTTCTTCTGATCGTAATTCGATCCGGTCATCGATATTTTCTCTCTTGCGCCTCGCTTCGAGTCTTTTGTCCTGGTCTTCGAAAGATTCTTCAATCTTTCTCAGCATAGCATCATGCTCCCTCTCAGCGGCTTGTAAAACCTCCATCCTCGCTGCTTTCTCCGCTGCTTCCTTCTCCTTAGCTTTTGGAACATAATAAGTTGGAACTAAAATGCCCGTTTTGTTAATTGTTGATTGACCGTACGCGTTGAAACTCATTCTAGGAGTCGGGGTTTGGACCGAGGGAGTCGTCAATTTGTCGTGCAGTGCCTTCCCTTTGAGTATCTCTGGCTCTGCTTCTAGCTGCGGCGGGCTCTTATGCGCTGTCTTGTCGGCCTTCGACTTCCCTCGAAGGCTTGGTCTACGAGCCGGTACATCAGCCATTAGCGGTATAGGAATCTCACTTCGCTGCGCTCTAGTCGTGATTTTCGGTCCTCCACGTGGTTCTGGATCGCACATGTCTATCATTTTCGCAGCCGCTGGCATACTCTTCCTGAAATAGGTTTCTGGCATGCCCCTAGCTCGAACAGTGTTCGCGTGGTCAATCCTCTTCTTCTCCGCTCTAGATCGAGCGCTGTTGATGGCTTTGAGGTTCTTTTGTGCCTGTGCCTCTTTATGTTCAAGACGCTCAGCTTTTATCTGCTCGTCCCAGCCGTTCCCCCAGTAGCTATTTTTTCTCTTCTCCACGGTACCCTTTCTTATGACTGCAGGTGGTAGGCCCTTTCCGTCATCTGGGGGCTCAACCCACTTCTTCTTGAATTTGGGTTCTGGCTCTCCGGCACGCAGAGCTTCCAAGGCTTTGACCTGTTGGCGATATTTCTTCATCTCGACCTTGCTCTTTGGTGCCAACACTGGGTCATACAGGCCCTTTCCCTCATCTGGGGGCGGAAGGCGCTTCTTTTTGTTGAAATTGGGTTCTGGTTTCCCGGCCCGCAGTGTTTCCAAAGATTTGAGATCTTGGCGGTATGTATTTATCTCGATCTTACTCTTTGGTGCTAATACTAGATCTTTCATCGTGTTCTAAAGAGCGTGAAGATATCACGTCCTGCGTGGACGGGTGCTATTTCAGGAAGTGGGGTTATCGATGGGACTTCAGGCGTAATATAGCTAGGAGGCGTTGGAATGGTCTCTTTGTAATTTTACGTGACTGGAGGAAACGTGCTTGGTTGATATGCTGATGTTCGCTCCTGGCGAATACTGATGTAAGTGATGAGTAAGTTGAAAGGTATATGTAGTTGTCGATGGTATAATGCGTGTTCTAAAGAAGTAACGCAAGGATGGCTATGTCGAGGGATACTTATACCTAGCATATCAACTATGTTCACATACTCCTATGTGACAAGGCATTCGTTGAATTGAATGTGGCTTCACATAAATGTCTGGTAATGGACTGTGTATGACAAACAGTTCCAACCTGTACGTACGGACTCACGTACCCAGGTTTCCACAAGACATCTCATAAGTCAATGCTACAAACCCGCTTGATATCCTCAAAGGCGACGATACCCTCGTTCGACGAGCTTCAGGGCACCAAGCTACCCGAATTTGATAGCTCTGTGCACCTAGAAGGTTTTAGATCCCACACTTACATATGAGCATTTCTAATCCTTAGAAAAGCTACGCTGCGCCGATGTACAGAGAGCAAAGTGTAAGATACTGGAAGGGAATTGTAAAATAGAAGAGCGCGCGTGTTGGAAGGGCAGTTTGAGCCGACATGTCACGCAGACATACAAATTAGATGCATGCGGTGTTCGGAAGTCTACGCTCGACTTCAGACGCGAGTATCTTTGTGTCGAACTCCAGCGGACAAACGTGGAGGTGATGGTTTTGGTGATACCTGTTCGCTGTATACATAGCCCCAAGTTATCGCAAGCGGTGAGAGCTGTCAACAGAGTTCGGCTGACAGCACGTTCCACAGGTTCGTCATGTTGCGCGACACTGACTGCAGACTATGAGCGGCGTCAGGATCGGAAGTCGGCAGCATGTAGTGTCCCTTGGCGAACAGCTGCAGAGGTGTTCACGGAAGGATCAAGCGCGTCAGACCAGGCCGAACTGTGTTGGTGGTTCTAGACGCGCATGGCCAGAACGTGGGCGTGTTCAAGCTTTCCCGGATGTTCGCCCGCACGAAGCAGCTTGTCCCGATTGCCTCTTGAGGTTGGTGTTCTCCAAGGTTGAACAGATCGAGACAGCTCGATTCGTGTGTCGAATGAACTGAATGCGCTCTCTTCAATTAAGCGAAGCGCATGCACGTGGTCGACTCGAAGTGTTTTTCGGACGATGCCCGGCTACAACGGCTGGTATACAGACCACTCGCGATGATGTGTTCGCTGGTGCATTGTGAGGACGCAGAATCCGGTTTTGGGATGCAGTCGACGTTGAACTAAGGATTTCGATGTTGTTGTGCGGACTGGGCTTCAGTCATGGTGCAGCTGTCACCGAGATCACGCCATCTGTGAGCCTCAGGCCTGGGCTGGGATAGACGCAGTAGCAGTAGTGAATCTTAGCCCCGAGCTGTCGTTTGAAGCGTGAGCAGGGAACGGGCAAACCATATTCTCTACCTGTTCAACATCGCATGAACGTATTGATTTGGCGGTGCAGTAGCGGCCAGGTGGTTAGATTTTGCTGTCAGTGCTGGGGAAGGCATCCAGCTTCCCCAGTCGCGAAAAGAGGGTCCCCCATGTCTCCCCGATATGATCCGAGGCTGCGCGCGCCCTGCCACCCTGCGCCGACGAGATTGGTTCATGCGCGGACGAGACTCACTCACCCTGAGGAGGCTGCACAGTGTTCGCGATTGATACGGGCGAGAAAGCCCAGAGCGCGCGTGAAGCAGTTTGGAGTTGCACACGCGGCCCACTCTGCTGGCTTCAGTCTGCGACGTTTCGGGCTGCGGAGTGACTGGGGGCTCCGCGGCTGGTGGTAGTTTCTGACTTTCTGTTTGGAAGGGCCGAAAGACGCGCCAATCAGCGGCGGGCAATGGCAGTCTGGAACGGCAGGTGCCACCGGGACCGCCTGCATTCCCTCAAGCTTCGCCCAGACACCTCCCACTTGGCCTTGACGCTTAACCCACGACGGCGACCCTCGACCTCAACACCACACACAGGCCATGTCGCTCGTCTGAATCTCCATGGGCTTCTTCTACCGGACACGAACTGCTGCTGGACCAGTATAACCGCCGACCGACCATGTGGGAGGCCGAGTCCTGGCGGCATGGAGCGCCTCTCCTGGACCGTCGCGCGCCCGATGCCACCCGACCCTACGTGAGTATCACGACCGCGACGCCCTCCACGCACGCGACTGACGACCGATACCAGCACTGTCCCTCGTACAAGCTGCCGGCCCACGGAACCATCGAAATTTCGCCCGGCAACACCATCACGCTCGACCAGAATGCCGTCTTCCGCCCGCTCTGCACCAACACGGCCACCCAGCAGGGCAACATCGACGACGGCACGGGGGGCATCACCAGCGTCGCCGACATGCGCGACCCCTTCCACGCATCCATCACGCCCCAGGCCTACGCGACAGGCGCCGCGACCGTCATCGCCTGGATGCTCGTCATCATGCTCATCATCACACCACGCACTTTCTTCGTCGGCAACGCTTCGGGACGCTCAGGGCTCATGGGACGACGCGGCATGATCAGCGGCGCAACAGGGAGCGGATCCATCATCGGAGTCGGAAGCCGTCCATGGCTGCAGAAGGCCGCGGCCCTGACCGTCGCCATTTCCCTGACGCTCGCCACCGCCGACACGTTCAAGATCGCCGAACGCCAGTACGAGGAGGGCTTCATCGACGCCATGGAGCTGCGTGACCAGGTCGTAGCTGGCATGGAAATCAAGGTTTCGCGCGTTGTTTCCGACATCTTCCTCTGGCTCGCACAAGTACAGACCCTGATACGCCTGTTCCCGCGCCACAAAGAGAAGGTCATCATCAAATGGGTCGGATTCGCTCTCATCCTGCTCGACATTGCATTCAGCTGTCTGAACAGCTTCGGTCCCTATGAGAACCAACGCCGCCCCGCACACTTCGACACCGCGATCCCCGCCCTCAGCTACCTGTTCCAACTATCACTCAGCATGCTCTACGCCGCCTGGGTCATGTACTACGCCATCACCAAGAGACGATACGCCTTCTACCACTCCATGATGTGGAACATGAGCGTCGTTGCCCTGCTATCTATCATTGCCATTCTCACGCCCGTCGTATTTTTCATTACCGATATCGCCAACTACACCATTGCCGGATGGGGAGACTACTTCCGCTGGGTAGGGGCTGCCGCTGCCAGTGTCATCGTTTGGGAGTGGGTGGAGCGCATTGAAGCGCTGGAAAGAGAAGAGAGAAAAGACGGAATTTTGGGGAGAGAAATATACGATGGAGACGATATGCTCGATAACACACCCTCCGACTCGAAATGGCCTTCGAAACGCAAGGGGCAGCTATCAGAAAAAGATGAGAAGAAGAGTGGGGGAAGCTCAGGCGGCTTCGGCGTCGGCGCGTTCACATCAGCACATGCCGGCCGCTTCAACGACCTTGCTCAGAGGTTTGGACGCAAGATGACCGAATCGCCACGAGCAGAAGCACGAAAGAAGCGCACTATCCACATTCCTGCACCACCCCCGGTTGTGCGACGGTCGGCATCTGCTGCACGTGGAGACCGCAACTCGCGGGCCTATGTACGAGTGCAGACCCCGCCTCCGGTACCAATCATTGCATCACCAGTCAGCAGGACAGACACCACCAGTGCTGACTCGACTGTATACACAGTTCGCTATCATCCCCTCAGCGATACACCTGTAAATCCACGGCACGCACCAGCAGACGATCGACCAGGAAATCGTGAAGCACAACCATCAACACACAACGCACCGCAAGAACCTCAGGTTCAACCAGCTGACCCTGAGGACCCTGAGAAGGGAGGAGAACTGGAACCTGTCACCAGCCGAAGTAGATTCCAATGGCAAGCTTTAGGGAACCCATTCCGACGAAAAGGACGGACCCCGCCAAAGGAACTCCAGAGGGGGCAGGTCATCGAACCACTCGCGGTAGACGACGTCGCAGCCAACATACCCCCTCGCAACTACAACGGGCTAGCTCTAGCCGATCGCCTGGGTACCTTTGCCGCACAGCAAGGCGAAAAGCTCAGGTCGAAGAAGAAGCCTGGGTCACAGCACGAAACGACTCTACCAGTCACAATCATTCCTGCCCAACCTCGGGGCCAAACCTGGTCTCCGGACATTATTCGCCAACAGCAACAAGCACAACAGGACGAGTCCTCTGCCAGTGCGGGTACCCAGCAAGCGAGTGCGCCAACTCCGAGCGAACAAGATCAATCTCATGGAGGGACTAATTCAAGCGAGGTCGTCAACTTGTCGGCCTCGCCAAACTCCACACGCACTCCCCGTATCCGGTTCTCGCCGGCAGCCCCGCTTGGTCGCCAACACAACACTGGTGGTCTCGGGACAGAGATGCGACCAGCGCTGTCTGCACCGAGTTCACCTTTGCCACAAGATGAGTCGACATCGACCATCGACTTTAGCAGGCCCGAAAACCACCCTCGGACAGATCACGACAGGTAGCTTGTCGGCACACCATCTTCTCTCGCATGTTTCTGTTTATATTTCGAACGTTGATAGCACGTATATACCCCCACATTGAATGGCGCATTGATGGCATGGATTGAGGACAGTGGAAACCCCACACAGCATCGGCATGGAATGGCGCAATTGGAACTTAAAAAATCTTTGGTGTTTGTATGAGGGATGGATACCCGCCGGCCATAAGGTCAGGCTCTTTGATTTAGGTGGAATGGCGCAAGCCTGCGACGACAGGGGGAGCAGTGGATACTGCGATCTATTAAGCGCTATAGCATGTACAGCAAAATATCAATAAATCAGTAAATCACACGTTTGCACTTGTCAGTAACTCCTACGTCTACAGTTGTCAGAAGTCAATCAGGTGTGCCAAGGCATTGATAAGGCTGTGACGATCTGGTAGGGCATGGGACGGGCGTTAGTGGAGCCCGGTTCCTTGCACCGCCGCATCATAGCTCCATGTTATCATCGCGTGTAGCACCTCCAGTCTAAGCTGTGGCCCTGCATTCTGTCCATCGACGACGTGCAGCTTAGAAATAATTAGTCGGCTGCGCATCTTCTCCCGGCGACAATGTCTTTATTCGGTGACGATGACCCGCCGCAGCGCGCGAAGCAGTCGTCGTCGCTCTTCGATGACGATCCCAAGCCCGCGGGCAAGACGGGCAACAGCTTGTTCGCAGACGACCTCGACGCCAACGACTCGCCCTGGGGCTTCCCCACGCCCAAGAAAGCCGGACGCGAAGCTCTCGTCAAGTCGCTGCTGCCTGCCTCGGACGTGCCCGACTCGTACATTGACGCTTTCGACGCACTGCTAGATGCTGGCGACCGCGAAGGCAATGGGGTCAGCGTCGAGGGTGTCAAGAAGCTACTGGCCGAGAGCGACATCCCCGGTCACGCGCAGTCCAAGATCCTCGAGATTGTGCTACCGTCTGGTGGCAGCGCCGAACTGGGCAGGAACGAGTTCAATGTTGTCTTCGCCCTGATTGGGTTGGCGCAAGAGCATGAGGACATCACCCTAGACAGCGTCGACGAGAGGAAAAGGAGTGAGTGTTAGCATTGTCGCGCATGCCGCGAAAGAACGACATTGACGCCCCGCCAGATCTTCCCGTCCCAACCGTGACGCTGCCGCAGTCCACCAAGGCCCGCGAACCATCACCTCCTCCCCAACAAGCCCAGCCCCCGACTCCTCCCGCGCCGCAACGCCAGCCGTCTGCGCAGCAACCGTCTCCTGCAAGCAAGTCGAGCGCGCCTATGCGCAAGCAATCCTTCGGCGACCCAGAGGCGGATCCTTGGGGCAGCCCCGACCTGCACAGAGGCCACAGCCACGCGAGCTATACAAGCTCCCAACCGCACACCAACGGCTCGAGCTTACCCCCAACCGCACGAACGACGAGTCAGTTTACAACACAATCGACCGCCGCTTCCTCCAACATCCCACAGCCCGTCCAGCCAAGTTCTTTGAGCAGTGAAGGTGGCTGGGGCGGATACAATGGCGGAGCGAGCCAGCCATTCGCTGCCCCTGGCTTGGGTGAAGAAGGCTTCGGCGCACCCGCAGGAGGAGAGGGTGGCTCCAATGCGACACCAGAGTTGGGCAGATCCATTGGGCGACTGAATCCAGGCGGCAGTGGGAACGAAGAGGTCATTACCATTACTGCGCTCTCAGAGAAAGAGGGCATGTTCATGTTCCAGCACCGCAACTACGAAGTTGCCAGCTCGAAACGCACCACAAAGGTCGTGCGCCGATACAGTGATTTCGTCTGGCTGCTGGACTGTCTGCACAAGCGGTATCCCTTCAGACAATTGCCACTGTTGCCTCCGAAGAGGGTCGGTAGTAAGTACTCATCCCGCTGTGGCCTTGATACGTATTGAGATTTCTTAGTCAACGGCAACCCAATAGCTGCGGATGCCACTTTCCTCGAGAAGCGAAGAAAGGGCCTTGCGCGCTTCACCAACGCGCTCGTACGGCATCCAGTTCTGAACCAGGAGCAGCTGGTAGTCATGTTCCTGACAGTACCTACGGTATGTTTAATCTGTTTGGAGAATGCCCAGCACGTACTAATTGGAACAGGAACTCGCAGTATGGCGCAAACAAGCCAACTTATCCGTTCAGGAAGAATTTACCGGCAAACCCCTACCACCGGATCTCGAAGACTCCCTCCCGAAGACCCTCCCTGAGCTCTTCGATACCGTCCGATCTGGCATCCGACGCAGCGCAGAAACCTACATCACCCTCTGCAGCATGATGGAGCGCCTCTCTCGCCGAAACGAAGGAATGGCAGCGGAATACGCACGCTTCTCCTCCGCTCTCAGCGGACTCACGGAGTCAAGTCAAGAAACGTACGCTGTCGACACGAACGACGTGCCATTGCTGAACGAGGGCATGAATGCTACAGCACGACACCTAGACTCCAGCAGACAATTGCTAGAAGACGAAGCAAGAGGATGGGAAGAAGGTGTTCTCGAAGACCTGAAGAGACAGAGAGACACTCTAGTCAGCGTACGCGACATGTTCGACCGCCGAGACAAGTACGCCCGCGACAACATCCCCCAATTGGAAAAGCGCATCGCAAACAACGAAACCAAACTCCACAACATCCGCCAGAAACCCGCCGAGCAGATCAAGCCCGGTGAGGCGGAGAAGGTGGAGGATGCCATTTTTAAGGTTAGTTTCCAATCCCCTTTAAACAATGAGATCATATTCTAATGCGTGATGCTAGGACAAGGAATCCATCGTCCAACAACACGCCCGCGGCGTCTTCATCCAAGAATGCATCCGCGACGAACTACTCTTCTTCCAAAAGTCGCAATACCACGTTAGTAGACTGCATCAGGAGTGGGCACAGGAACGTGTCAAGTATGCGGAGCTGCAGGCGGATAACTGGCGGGCGTTGAGTGAAGAGGTGGAGAGTATGCCTCAGGCGGAGTAAGCAACACGTGTGTTTGTGGAATCAAGAGAAGGGGGGGAATAATGTCTCCTTGTCCGTTTCTTCATGGCAATCAAGGGCGATGAATGAAAGGGCATAGCGGTGATGGATGGGTGGATGACGGATGCTCGCGCTCTTGTTTTTGGAACAGTCGGTTGTCGGGATGTCATGAGCCAAGGTTGTAATTTGTACATGTCTCTTACGTCTTGTTTTGTTGCTTTCGTTTGCGCGCATTTGATATCAAGAGGTCGACGTATATACCTGTGTATGAATGAGATTGGATGCTTCTGTCTTGTCCTCAATGTATATCTGCTGCCTGCCTGTGCTGGCGATATTGTATCATCTCCTGCTTGACGGGTTTTGTGAGATGACGAGGAAGATGAGCGCTTGCCCTAGCCATGACTGTGGTATAGTGGGACTAAGACCAAAGCCGGGCTGTCGATGATGAGATCTTGTTTCGGGGTGGCGAGCCCCAGGTCCTGGTTGTCGATGATAGCCTGCATCATGTGTCCTGAGTTCGAAAGACACCCCTCTGTTACATCAGTGCACCAGTAAGAGCCGTATTGTGAATTCAGGATTGATTTCTCATTGCATGCAAGGCCGGGTATCCCCCATTGCCCGTAAACACAGTATGAGGAAATACGCCATGCAGAACCATCCCCACCCGACTACAAAGCCCACTCTCTCTGCTTTTCCTTTTATCTCAGACCCATATCCGTCCTCTTGCTTGATCGTGTGGGGCGGTCGGGTCGAGGTAACATTGTTGTATCGTATCGTCAGGTAATCATCGTCGTCACATGCGCCTTCTACTCCAGCCCTCGAAGCGAACGGTAGAGAAAATCTATCGGTGCTGTTGCGATGTGAGTATGCGTGCTTTTGTGCAAGTGTGTGTAAGGACGTACCTTGACGAAGCCAATGTCGGAGCTCTTCTCGCGGAAGCACTGACGGCAGATGTTGAGGCCGTACTTGCGGATTAGACCAGCGGGGTGGGTGCAGACGCGGCTGTGAGTACTGTGTTAGCCATCGTACTGGTATCCTGGCCCGTTGCATCAGGTGCATCCAATCCCTCCCCTCGCGCAGACCAACACGGTGCGCTCGCCCTGGCCCCAGCCGCATATATAATCGGCGCCTCTTCCCCCTCCCTCCTCCATCTAGTGTATCGGGATTTTGGGTTCAAACGTACCACTCGCGGGAGCCCTTGCCGTAAGTCCTAGGGCGCGAATACCAGACCGACTCGTGAGACATGATGTGTGGTTGGAGGGTTTTGGGATTGTCGCTTGCTATTTTCAAAGTCAGCTAAATTTGTGCTTTCATGGCGGTTCCTGTAACGGCTGCACGAAAAGGGCGACTGACAGTATTGACTTGTTGTCGGCGGAGTTGAATCGGGCGTGCGTGGGCGTGCGTAGGCTTGTCGGGGTCACGATGCTCGACTGTCGAAATCGAATATTGTGTGGGGTGGTCTGTGCTGGCCGCTAATTGCCGGCGCCACCGCCGCGGGGGGCAGCGCCCTCTCAGAACTGATCGCGACGTTTCGCTGTGCCAAGAGATCGCCATAATCCACGGTTTTGCTCCCAAACATACCGCATGCGGTAGTTTTACTAGTAAAAAGTGGGGTTTGGGAGCTGATTAGATCTGTGACCGCTACATGCTGTATCGCCGGAGAGCGGCTGCTTGCTTCTGCACGTGCGCTCTTGTGCTCTTTGGGATAGAGCTTGGAGTCGGGAGCGTACGATAGGGACTGAAGCACTTCTACTTGTGTAATGCACTATAAACCCCTACCCTAGGATAAGTGGAGTAATGATATACACATGAAGAACCTAGAAGATACAATGACATTTGCACAGTGGTGTCTCTCTGCAATCCACTGCTACTCCAACATTCATACACAATCATATCGTACAGGTTAGGATGTCGACCTCCAGGCGCTGATCAAATGTCTACTCCCGACGGTGATTCAAGTTGACCACCAGCGTGCCACTCCTGCTCCTATTCCCTGGTTAGTTTCGGTACGCCCTTCACTCTTGTTGGCTGAGCAACTTACTCTACTTTGTGAAATCTTAT